CCCCCCCCCAACGCCAACTCGCCGCCTGACGCATGCTGCCCTGCGACCTCCCACCAACACGACATGCCTCGAAACTATAGTCAGAGAAGCATAACAATAACCGATCACCGTTGTGATTTCACGAAATCACGACTTTCCATCAAATTCTTGGAAACCAAATACGATCAAATGAAATGTGACAATCATTCCTTGAGTATGTATTCTCCATGTGACTATCCTATTATTGATTATAAATTGTTGCCTTGCATCATCAATTCATGCTTTTTAAGTCAGCGATGTCGGTGAGCGACAATGTCAGTGGACTGTTGCTGTGAAAGCCAAATCTGTCTGCAGTGTGAGATCGATGGAAAATGCATCGCCCGAAAAAGGTTACACTCCTTAATTACAAAACCACTATCGCAGACCTCTTCATTCGCAACAAGGACACATTCGTTCCATATTTACCTGCAACACTTAAATAAAGCCATTGTTTAATTTTGCTGCTGTTCACGTGTACACACACGCACGCACACACACACACACACACACACACACACACACGCACACACACACACACACACACACACACACACACACCAACGCGCGCGCGCGCGCGCGCGCGCTTGCATTTAATAATGATAATATCACTGACCAGTGACCACACATCAGTTCATTTTCTACAGAGTTGCCGTCATGCCCCCCCATAGCCATCCAACTTCAACCGCAAGATTTGCCATGGGAGTATTAAACTTTCACCAATTAATATAGTCATAAATGACCTAATGCTGAATGATCATGTTCACATAGATTGATTATAAAATCATATGCTCCTGATGCCACATTTATAGACTTCACATTATAAATGCATAGGCCTATAACAACATGGAATGTCAACGATTGTAGAATAATAGGCGATCCTATTTTAATGTGTCTCCAAAGGCTATTTCATTTCACATGATGGAGACATCGAAATCTTTTGTTTCAAGAAAATTGACAGTTCAGGGCGACGCCCCCCCCCCCCCACACACGCCCCACACAAGCACAAAAACTAATCCCCTTGACGAGCAGTACAGTCAACCGCACCATTTTTCAACTGAAGAGAAATCATTAATAAAGAGAGTCGAATTCAACTATAGGGGGCGGACCGTAGAATGCTAAAGTGGGGTCCAATCGATTTTTCTTTTTTTTTTTTCTTTTTAAAGACTAAGAAGGAACAAGAACAAAACTTGACGATTAATTGACAAAACACGACCCTTAAATGGAAGAATGTTTGTTTGTATGTTTTGATAACGCTGGACAAATATGACGAAATTTCAGTTGAGGCCTATATCGAAACCTCAAGGCCTCCTTTGGTGGTAAATTATCTCCAAAACCATGCTGAGCTATACGCTGACAGTGTCCATCGGTGCCGTCGTATATAAATCTACTATATACTCCCCTAGAAGCGAATTTGTGATTGCTTTCAAGATTATGACACAAATCCGGATCTACAGGGTAGATATAGAAGACAGGGTCTCTCGGGTTTACGTTGCGTCAAACGATAATTATTGCTGACGCGATCCCTCTCAACTTAAAACACTCCAAGTAAGTGTGTGTGTGTGTGTGTGTGTGTGTGTGTGTGTGTGTGTGTGTGTGTGTGTGTGTGTGTGTGTGTGTATACACTTTTTTTGTCCGTGCGCCGTCTTGAACCTTCACCATGCGTTGACTCTGAAAGATTGCTCTCTTGATGCATCGTTTCCTTGTCACCAGCGCAAAATAAATCATCAGGTGGTTTGGGGTGGGGCTGTGGAGAATTTAGTATGTATGTGCATCTGTAATTTGGTTGCTTACTGGCATAATGAGGCATTTTACCAGGCTGAGAGACCCAGCAATAATACGTCACAATTATGCGTTGCAAATATTGTACATGAATAATAATAATAATACATTTTATTTATAAGCACCTTTCAAAACTAGGCTCTGCCAAGAAAAAAAGTCATTATAATTGTAATTGTTCAAGAGTTCTAAAATTATTAACCTAAAAAAACACTATACTTGCATTTTTTTTGCGTTGCAGTCATCATATCTTTTTTGAATGCATGCAAAATTGAAATCGGAATTCATTCGAAAGAGAACGTTTCATTTAAACAATGGTCCATCAAAAATAGCTGAGCCAATGAATTAATGTCCTCAGTAATGAAAATGTTTTTTTTTTCTTTTTCGTTTTTTTTTTTTTTTTTAAATCCAACACAAGTGTGTGGGTGGGTGCAATGCCGTTCCTGATCTGCTCCCACATCGATTTTGTGACCCGGACATTATTGGTCCCTTTCGGCAATATTTCTGCTCTCGGGGGGTTCCATATAGTCGATCATACATCTGAACGGAAGTTAAAAATAAAAAACGAGCGCTCCAATTTAAAGGAGAGAAATGTTTGCAACGAACCTCGTTGCATAATTTACACTGAACCAAATCTGCCGTTCTATTTTATTCTATTCTGTTCTATTGTATTCACAGTTGTGGGCGCATTCAACTTGACCTCCCCTTCTGCCATCATCCCAGGTATCGATCAAGGTGTGTTGGGTGTGACTGTGACACTTCCCCTGCCTTATGTCAAGTTTGTCAGCAGCAGTCTTTGTTTAGGCTGCACAAAGTGTAGTTCACATGAAGGTCAATTTGCTGCCGGAGTCACTCAACAAGCCGGTGAACACAAGAGAATATGCATCTTGTTCGTTTTTTTTTTGTTTGTTTTTTTTAGCAATATATATTCTTATCCAAACATGACACGAAGACAAACGAAAAATGGAAAGAAATAACCGTACTAAATTCCGTCCACTGTTTGTGGGGAAGTAGTTGTGTTGGGCTATTATGTTGTGTGGTATTACTATACCACAGTATTATCTTTCTTTTAATCAGTAAATCGATGTGAGAAAGTCAATAATGTAAAGAAAAATCTGCAAAGTACTCATCCTGAATGCCGATATTTGTCAGTTGTTATTTATTCCTACAAAGAGCAAAAGGCGGCATGGATATGTATAAGTTGTCACATTGCAACCATCTTCTCCAGCAGAGAGCGCAATTAAGAAATGAATACTAATTTCCTTCCTTTTTATGATCAAAAACTGTTCCAGACGAGAATAGCACTTTATGAGCTGAGATGAGTGTCACTTAACCATTTTGCACAACTTTTATTCAAGTTTGTATTTTAAAACATGCTTCCTCCAGATTAAAAAAAAAAAGATTTGTTGTCAGTCGTTGTTCTGTTTTAATCTAACTTGAAACTGGAGCTAGCATTTACAAACATCGTTTGGGGAAAACATGTCTCAGTCGTTTTGGGGTTAGCTGTCACATATGGGCCAATGAAAAATGCACCCCTGGAACTCGATTTACATCGGCCAGAATTGCTATTCAGATGATGAGTCTGACTGGCGAGAAAATTCGTTTGTCTGGTTTTAGTCGAGTGTTTATAAATTCGAGTGTTTATAAATTCACTGTGTTGTTGACCAGTTTCAACTGGATGATGAAACAATGCTTTAAAAAAAATATATATATATATATATATATAAAAAATGTTCGTACAGAAAATACGGTAAGTGTTGATGAATGTACAGCAAGCATACGGTTGTCGCGCAC